GCAGGATTTTCTGTCGGCTGCATTTAAATCCGCGTCTGAAGTTTCCCGCTCTGTTCAGCGTGCAGTATCACGTGTCTAAACAAATAGCACGTTCTGTCAGTGATTTCAACCACTAGAGGCCGCTCTCGTACTGTATAATGACAGCAGACCCTTTCTCAGCCGTTCCAGCAACGGACGCAACCCGGAAAACTATCGGCATGGATTTTTGCCGATAAAGATAGTTCCATCAAAAAACTATCGGTGCCGATTAATCGGCAAAACCGATACATCGGTCGACCTCTAGTTTGTAGATATTAAAGCATTTTCTGTAAAACTGCTCTAAAATGCTGTCTTGTGAAAAGCGCTAAAGAAAACAATTTTTCCCGCCCTGTATTTCACATTCTCAGCATGGTGTGATGCTGCAGCGTAGGCGTGACGGAGTGAAGCCTGATATGCCAACGGCTGAGGAGCGAGAGCAGATCATCACAGCCCTTGGAGGGAAGCCCTACTGACTGCACAGTAGCAGTAAAAACATGTGTGTGTTTGGACTAAAAATAAATTTCTTGCAGAGGAGACACATTACAAATCTATCCCTCTGGATTTATTAAATATGTATTTCAGTCCTGCATGTGGGAAAAGAGGTTAAATGTGTACTTGCATAATTTTAGCAATTATGTAGATGCGTTACAACTAATGCTGTGTTTGTATGCATAATACTGTCAATGGCAGGCTATTACAGCCTAATTTAATGTATTCAGTTGTTCAAAATAGAACACATTTTTAATAGGTGTGGGTGTTGTGTCATGTCTGTTTTATTTGTATAGCGCTTTTCACAATACACATTCTATCAAAGCATCTTTACAGAAATTCATAACGTTAATGTTATACCTTAATGCCTAAATGTCCACATTTAGCAGATGAGAGATGGGTGATAGGAATGTTTACATATGGTGAGGATATAAACAGTGGCGGTTCTAGACCACAGTAATGGGGGGGCACTTGCGCTTTTAGGGGGCACACTTTTAAAATTCATTTTAACCTACTTTCAGTATTATTCATTCAGTCATTTTTCACCATGTCATTTATCACTGCAATCTCTACAAGTAAGCTATAACAATTTAAACTCAAATGAATGTTTTATGTTTCATTTATCTGACAAATGATTTTGTATTGTAGTGTCAGTGGCGTCATGCTTGTCATGTGACACGCAGCAGCCACAATAGCACTGTATAACTGATATAGGCTTACGTTTTATTTATTTTTTCTTTTATTCAAAATATTCCCAAACGCGTTAACTGTATCATGAAATATCTCGATTCTCAAATATGCGCAAGTAAATGCATTTTGCACCTTTATAGATTATGTTAGTTGATCTATAATGGGCGATGAGCAAAGTAGCCTAATAGTGTCATCTATTAACTATGCAAAAAATGTCTCAGGTTACTTATGTAACCATGGTTCCCTGAGTAGAGAGAGCAGAATTCAGTCAGCGAGCGCGCACACTGTACAAAACACTGGCGTTTCGGCGATGACTCATCTAAACGCCTCTGATTGGCCGCTACATTTATAAGCTCAACAGAATGGTGTGTGATTGATTTTAATGCGCAGCGCTGTAAAAAAACGTCTGGCTCTGCGCCACTAGCTGGTGATGTTTTACTTTTTTCCATTACCCACAGGACAAACTGTGCATTGCACCCAATATTATTTTGTGTGATACGATTCCAAATTTAGGGGGGCCAGATCGGGGGCCAAGCTTGTTGACACGGGGCACTGGCCCCCCTTGCCCCCCCCCCAGAACCGCCCCTGGATATAAACAGTTAAGCAGTGATGATTTGTTAGTATATATCGGTTTATGTGAGTGTACTGTTTGTGCATGCTGATAAAGCTGGATATGATGATATGGAAATCTGTAAGGTTTTGTTAAATTTATAACAATTTGGTTTGATGACAAACAAATGTGTATTACTACCAGTTATATAAGGCATATAAACTGGGTTTTAAAATTGAGGTCATATCACCCCACATTTAAGCAGTTTAATTGAAAGTAATTCCAATATACTTATATAAGATGCGTCATACATAATACAACATATCTTGTGCTCCCTAGTATGCAGGTCAAAGGCGATTGGGGCAAGGAACGAAACAGAGAGAGAGAGAGAGGCTGCAACAAGGGACAATTCTCCTCTGGCTGAACAGTCAAAATGTCATGTCTGTAATTAAGTATATATGTTATAATTATTTATTGTTTTTATTCTTTTTTACAATATTTAAACTTTTTTAATTAAATCACCTGCATTTAAAGTAGTATTCCTGTGTCTGTTGTATTTTTATATATTTTAATTTACTTTCTCATGATTAATTGGAATGTGACGCTCTATTTAGAGTAGCAGTAGAACAGAGAGCCTCTTTTCATTACATAAACACAAACAAAAAAGGGTGATGATAATATTAATAAATATTTACTTTTATTTTACCAAACCAAACTGAGAATCATGAAGGTAATCATGCTAATAGACTGCATAGCACCACTGTTGCCAACTATAGCTAAAACCTGCTCAAAAAGTTGTTAAATTATGCTAATGAATGCATGTGACAATGTAAAGTCCACCCAATTGGCCCAACGATGGTATCCAATGGATGGTCAAAGGTATAGTGCATGTAGGTATTTTACCTGTGTTTCTGCAAAGTTCACTTAATTTATCAGAATTTAGTCAGTCTAATTAGTTAGTCTAGCTCCGTATTTAATCTGACTCCAATTTCAAGTGACCATTCAATTTAAGCTGTATTTCTAATGAAAATCTGATCACAAATATCAATTATGTATTAATTTAGATATTTAATTATTCTAAATATCTCATACTTTCAATTATTCGTTCATTAAGGACCCGGTGTTGCATAGAAATTCACCCAGCCTTTAGTGAACTCACGGACACAAACTCGCCAATTCTGATCTTACTCAGGGTGATTATAATGCCTCTGAGTAGGCTGCACCCTGCTAGCACATAACAAAAAGTTTTTTTTTGTTTTTTTTTATAATCAAAAAAACTGCAACTTGTTAAGTCAGTGATAGTCAGAAATCAGAAGTCCCTAATGATGTGCCCCATGCTCCATTCATACCATTCATTATGGTATGATTTATCCTGGACGCAGATTTGCGGAAACACCAGGCTCCACTTTAATCTACTAGAAATAATGATTTCAGAAAAGGTCAGATTGAAATCAAATATAACAATTTATTATTAGTCAGGTACAAATGTATCATGCCAATTACATAATTAAACAATTAGAAGCCAATTCAGAAGAAATAATGCGATTGTGAATCACATTGTAGCCACATGGCAATTCTATGCTCCTGATAAAGAAAGGGGTCAAAGTACGCACATCCAAAAAAGTCTTGGCCAGGTGCAAGATCAAAAGGTACATCAAATAATAGAAAAAAGATCTGCACACTGTTATTCTCCCTTTATTCAAAAAAGTTAAAAATAGCATTATTCAGCAATTTCAAATGACATGTGTGACTATGTTGAATTTGTTTGTCTCCTATGTGGAACTATTTCTCATATAGCTACAGTAATCAATGTACAGGAGCATAGAATTAAATAACAGAAAAAAGATCTGCACACTGTTATTCTCCCTTTATTCAAAAAAGTAAAAAATGACAACGTTTCGGTCAAAGACCTTCATCAGGCAAACACACAAGCCAAGGCTCACATAGCCATAGGCCACTAGCGCTAAGCCGATCGGCGTGGTAGCCCAGGCACACATAGAATTTGCGGAAACACCAGGCTCCACTTTAATCTACTAGAAATAATGATTTCAGAAAAGGTCAGATTGAAATCAAATATAACAATTTATTATTAGTCAGGTACAAATGTATCATGCCAATTACATAATTAAACAATTAGAAGCCAATTCAGAAGAAATAATGCGATTGTGAATCACATTGTAGCCACATGGCAATTCTATGCTCCTGATAAAGAAAGGGGTCAAAGTACGCACATCCAAAAAAGTCTTGGCCAGGTGCAAGATCAAAAGGTACATCAAATAACAGAAAAAAGATCTGCACACTGTTATTCTCCCTTTATTAAAAAAGTAAAAAAATAGCAACGTTTCGGTCAAAGACCTTCATAAGGCAAACACGTGTTTGTGTTCAGGCGTGTTTGCCTGACGAAGGTCTTTGACCGAAACGTTGCTATTTTTAACTTTTTTCTGTTATTTAATTCTATGCTCCTGTACATTGATTACTGTAGCTATATGATAAATAGTTCCACATAGGAGACAAACAAATTCAACATAGTCACACGTCATTTGAAATTGCTGAATAATTCCAATGTTACAGTTATTCTTATTTTACACAAGACACATGGTCTAGAATGCATAGCATCTACAACCTTTTGCCTAAGTATTTTAAAGAACATTTACAGCAAAGAAATTATGTGTTTTAAAGAATAAACTTGACTAGTCTATGTGTATATGTAGTAGCACAAACAACTATAAAGTGTGTTCGATGAGCACAATGCGATTACCACAATTACACATTTGAAAATAAAAAAGAAATGCATAGCTGACAGCAAGAAGACACACAACAGCATGTGAGAGTTCTAGTGCAGAGCTCCAGAGACACACACACAGTGTGGGGGTTTTCTGGTTACATAATTCCAAATTACTATAATGCCACTTCACTTATATATTCAGACCAAAACAAAGATATCTTCAAATCAGTTGTAAAAACACAAAATACCTATTGGTTTGTCAGGATCCCGTAACCCAAGGGTCATACCTGACAGGAGAAGGGAAAACATTTTCACCAGACCCTGAGGAGGACACACCCACTCAACAGCAGAACATAATTCTTTAAAGGTTTTCAATCTTTCTCCTAGAGGCTGCTGTGAAATTGAGACCCTTTTACCAATCACACAGAGACCTTTACAATGATACTAAACATAAAAAGTGTAAGATCATAGATTCTTAAGATATTATAAACACAAAATGTAAGTTCCCTTTCAATTCGTTCACTTCAACATTTGCATTTGCTAATGCTTTATGCAAAATTTGACCGTGCTTTTTACAGATCTTCTTTATGCACCAAGAGCTTGTAACACTCCAAATTGAAAGGAAAAATTGAATTCGCATCATATGACCCCTTTAACACGTGAACACGATTGAAACAACAACATGATTATTTTCCTAATTAATCTGTTTAATTCCTCAACCTTTGTCGTGTGCGATCACAACATTGTGATCCATAGATATGTATATGATATGTTATCACTCTTGGTTCTTCCGTGCAGCATTCGATCACACCAGTTTGATTTGGACATTAGCTGGCCTAAAGAGAGCAGCTGTCATGTATATGAATGAAACAGCTTAACAAACAGTCTTTTCAACCACACAGTATCATTCTTTCTGTGTTACAAACATTCAAATAATCACAGAAGTACTGGGATAAAAGTTTATAGTTCGGATATAAAGTCTGATGTGTACGGTAGCGATAAAAATAGAATAAATCACCTTTTGAAAGTAATTTGACACTAATTTAATTAATTAGTAATTTAACCCAAAGGGTTTCAAATGTATTGTCTTTGAATCATTCAAAAATGCTGATTCATCCAGTGATGAAACAAGTAACTCTTGAGTGAGTCATTGAATCATTCATTCATAAATTACATGTGATTTTGTTTAGTTGTCTGATGTTTTTTCTTCAGAATCGTGAGAGAACAATCTGCACACAAACAGCTCTTAAACAAGTGCAGTTTTCATGTAGACGGCTGATTTTTGTTCATG